GAGAGAGAGAGAGAGAGAGAGAGAGAGAGAGAATCTGTTCAAGTTCTCTATGAAAATTGCTCTTGCTCTATCCTTACCTCTTTTATCTTCTATTTACCCACAGAGCAAGATGTTTCAGGCCTTCAACCCTGTTCACGTGTCGTAGAAACCTTTTTTTCCGCACGTATTTTACTGCGTTCGCAACTGCAAAAGGTCATATGAGCACGCGGGACACATTATACATTTTTCCGTCAGTAGGAAATTTTGAATATTGCACGGGTGATGGCCGATGTCTACTCTTATCGTTTTTAGGACCATCAAGGAATCTTTAAGGTGCGCAACCCGCACTCGAGACCTCCATGACCTTTTGCTCATATCCGAGAAAGCTAGGTGTAGATCTTTCCTACCATAAGCTCAGGTGTGTGGATGAAAGACAGCAGTAATAGGGAGCCAAGCAGCAAGCTCAATTTGTCACTTGTGTGAAGTGCCTTACCCAAAGACACAACGACGGGCCCCTAACGGGATTCGAACCCACAAGCTTATGGCTGTGAGTCTGAGAGTCTAACCACTAAGCCATCGACGCCAAAACATTCCTAACAACCTAACATTCATAAAGTTGAGTAAAAAGGGAAAAGTGACACCCCCCTTCCCGCCCACATCCTTCGTGACTCATTGGAGCAGAGGAAGATAGGACTAAAGCTAACATTACTTAAACGCAATCCCACATCATCACTCATCACCACCATTATATCTAAAATCATTACCGCTCTCAGATCAATGACTTACATCTATAATCCTAGGAATCTCTATCTGCTATTACAGTTACTTGTTATACTAAGTATGCCCGTAATACACTATAGGACACTATCATACGCACTTTTTTTCTACTAATCAAATGGCGTCAATCTCATATAAATGGGCAAGGGATAAAAATAAACAACAGCAAAAAAAAGACAACCCCCCTCTCGTCAGAAGAAAAGTTCACCTCCTCCAGGAGACTCTCCTTGTCCCGCAGCACCAGCTGTTTCTCTCCCTCCATGGCCTCCAGCTGAGACTTGAGCGTGGCTAACTCCACCTCCAGCCCGTCGGCCGCCGCAGAGAACTCCTGGTTCTTCTGGTTCAGGCTCTGCTTTGTCGTGCGCAGCTCGTGCTCCAGAGAATCCCTGTCATAAAACAAAACAAAACAACATTTGATTAATTGTGAGGCTTACTTACTTACTTACTTGGTTGGAGAATAGGCATGCATCAGAAAAAATTGAGTATGTAATTTGCTTAAGATTATAATTGTTTATATTGCTGTTCATTTATATTATGCATGTGACTGTAAGCCTGCGTGCGTGTGCATGTTTGTGCGTGTGTGCGTGCGTGCATGTGTGTGTATGTGGTGAAACACCAAATCAATGTGCCAGGATCTGGACAAAAAGGATGTATCTTATCATATCTTATCTTATCTTACATTTTTCTTTTCTTTTCTCGGAGTTCCGAGGAAAACTTCTCCTTCTCCGACCGGGTACTGCAAAAGTCTTCCTCGAGGGAATTCTTCTCTGCTGCCAGCCTTGTTTCAGACTTCATTTGTAAATCACGGTAGACAAATAGAAAAAGAAATATAATTAAAGGACATATATATGAACAAAAAGGCATCAATTATTCAGAGAATTTTTTAAAAACAAAACAAAGAAAATAATAGATTATGAATACTTATGAATATGAATGCAAATGCACTTCACAGCAAAAATCTCACCGGAGGCTTCCCAATGGTCCAGTATTTAGTGATCACTAGCTCATAATCAACGTCAAGCAACCTTGATGCTACAGCTGTAACAATGGGTGGTAACTGGGCTGTGCTCTTGACCAAAATAAGTGAGGCATCACAGTAAAATCAAGTGCTCGTCAAAATAACAACATCAGAGAAACAGGCATTTTTCCATCAGTTTGGACATTTTTATCAATTTTATATTTTTAGGCTCAACCCCTTTTATTTCTACATAAAAAAACATTTCCATGTGAATTTTACTGAAAAGCATTTATTTAAGGCACAAAAAACACTTACTAAAAAAAGATCTATGAGTATGGTATCTGGTGTGCGCTTTAAAAAGAATAAAGTTCACTTTTCATAAGCTTTGTACTAAATTTTGAATCATTATGTTACGACAGTACAGTTGTACTTTTAGGTTGTTGTGAACAGGGAACATGCCACTGAATTGTATTCTATGTCAATTACACGAGGAATATCTATAGTCTGTACTTTATGAATAATGATGACGTAGACTACTACTTCTATGGAAGTCCATTACTATCAAATTCAACGACAAGCACATCTGGTCAGGGTTAGGCAGTTTAACACTTAGCAACTGGCACATACTCTGTTCACACGTTCTGCTCGGAAACGACACTCACTGATCACAAGGTCTCATGCTTATACACAGCTCACAACACTGACAAGGGTAATCACTACGAAAGGACGAAGACAACTCACGACAGTTACGGGCGGTCACTAAGAATAAAGGACGAGGACAACTGGACACTGACTTATTGGGTCAAATTCCTTGAACATGTTTGACCGTGACAACACTACAATTACCTCTTTCGTTTCTTCCTGAAGTTTCTTCAGTTTTTCAAATTCATCACTCAGACTGCGAACACGACTTTGGAGCGTACCGTTCTCCTCCTCCAGACTTTTCTTACTCGCCTGAAAATGAATAAATCAAAAATGAATTTCAGATACAACATACAAAGGACGATATACAAAAAAACATTTGAAAGACTATTTGTTCAAAAAACAACATTACATTATTTTCAGTAAAACTAAAGTTTAACCCTATCCGTATGCCCTGGGATCATTTTGTACTCCCAGGGTTGTATTCTTCATATTTCAGAATACTTCTAGTGGGAAGATCTCTTTCAGTGTTTCTCAAAAAATCATTTTGACAGACTGCTATGCAAAGCATACTGATTAGATTAACGAGTAAATTTTGTCCATACACCATCCATCCAACCCACCGATAGCGTATCCACTATGGTCTGCGTCTGCTCCAGCTGTCGGATGAGGTCAGTGTACTGAGCCTGGAGCCTGTTCAGCTCCTGGGAGGCTCGGTGGTTGTCTGTCTGCAGACTGGTGGCGTTGATCATCAGTTTGTCTGCCAAGTCATGTGACATTTTGGAGGAATTAAACACAAACACACGCCAAAAAACACCCATCAAGAACTAATAATAATATATGAGGAGTCCACAAGAAAAACGGGCGCAGTCACAAACTGGAAATCGTGAGGTTGTCAATTTTAAAAGCTTGTGGACTCATAACTTCAAACTTGTTTGATTAGTGGTTTATTGTTATGTTTGTTGAACCGGAAATCTAACAACAACAATAATCAACCAACAGTTGAACAGAAATACAGTTATGAGTCAACAATAATCAACCAACAGTTGAACAGAAATACAGTTATGAGTCAACAATAATCAACCAACAGTTGAACAGAAATACAGTTATGAGTCAACAAGCATTCAAAATTGATACCTTCATGATTTTCAGTTTCTGAAATTTGTTTTTCGTCACAGTTTCTCTAGTCTGTGATAGCAGTTGCATGTGCTCAAGAAATTATTTTTTTTAATTCAAAAGTCTAACTATTGAAAAAATCTAGAAAAGACACACAACACAATTCTTAAAAGAATTAAATACTTTTTTCTCTCTCCTGAAAAGATTTCGCTTTTGTGGCATACAACTGTTGAACAGCTTTCTAACAACTTTCTGCCTCCTACATGTTGGAAATTAAGAGAGACATTATAATTCTTAAAAAGACACCACACCACCTGAAAGAATAAACTCCCATGCCATGCACGTTCACATTCTTACCTTTCTCTGTGATAACAAAGTGATAATTGTCCTCACCTTTCTCTGTGATAACAATGTGATAATTGTCCTCACCTTTCTCTGTGATAACTATGTGATAATTGTCCTCACCTTTCTCTGTGATAACAATGTGATAATTGTCCTCTGATCTCTGCCTCCTGGAGGTCTCGTTCGAGAGATCTTCCTTCAGTTTCATCATCTCAGCCTTCAGCCCAGAAGAGCTAGATGAGTGTGTCTTGCACTGTGAATCGTGAATGCATTAAAGGATCTTATTTAGCTATCATGTGAATGCATTAAAGGATTTAATTTTGCAATGTGAAGGCATTAACGGATTTTATTTTGCAATGTGAATGCATTAAAGGATTTTATTTTGAAATGCGAATGCTTTAAAGGATTTTTTGCGCTTTGAATGAATTAAAGGTTGCTTTATTTTTCGCTGCAAATGCATTTAAGATTGGGTTGGGAGGGGGGGGGGGTTGCACCAAGAATACATTAATGGGGGGGGTTGCACCATTAATACATTAATGTGAGAGATTTTTTTGCGTTGCGAATTAATTAAATAGTATTTTCACGCTGTCAATGCATTAAAGGGTTTTACAGCAAAATTCATAATAGAAACACAAACCCCTCTACAATTCAGAAGCCTGAGGTGAAAAAAAAACAAAAAAACCTCAAAAGCTTCTAATTCAGGTTGTTTCAGGCAGCAGTTAACTCAAATCTTTACAGTGGATGGAAAGTTCTAGTTTATGTGATTGCCTGATCAGGAGAAGTGTAGACTATTTACACCCTCCATCTACACAATTTAAATTATTTAAGGGGGGGGGGCAGCTCTGAAACTGCCTGTTATGGCCATTCCAGGCCGAGAGGGATACAACATCCCACAAAAAAATCAGAGATACTCGATAAAACTTTACCCCACAAGAGAATCGAACTCATGTCTTTCGCGTGTGATGCCGTAGCGCTTCACCATAACACCAAAGAAACTGGTCTCAATCAGTAAAGGTCATGGGCTCAAACTCCATCAGGGGCCCGACATTTGTTCTTTTCAGAAAGGAATCTTTCATTAATTTTCCTCATTTCACCAGCATGGGAATGGGTACCCAGCTATTGACAGCGAAGGATCTTGTTACTGTCAGTTTGTCAGTGTTTTAGTCTATGTATTCCACAGCTTCTACTGTATGCCTCCCGCCCGGGAAGTGGGGGAACGTTATTTGGTGCTCTGGGGTCTTTGTTTGTTTTAGTAAGCGTTTTACGGCACTTGCAAAACAATAAGGTCATATAAGAGCCGCAGATTAGAGGTGTTACAAGAGAGTAACAAACACAAACAAAAAGGAGGGGAGATAAAGATGATAGATGTTTGATAGAAAAGAAGAAGCAAACCCCACCAGAGCACCCGCCAACCACCCACTTATTCAACGGCTTTAGTTTTAGTTTTTGTAAGAGTTTTACAGCACTTGCAACTTGCTCTCGGGTCTGCTGGGGCAATAATAGTCCTAAAGCGTATAGAGCATGCTGTAGAGTATGGGTGTGTGCTATAGAATTAAACTATTTTTAGCATCATAATAGATTGAACTACACAACATTCAAGTAATTTACTTTTTGACATTAAGCGCTACCTTATTTCCTAAAGAGGCTTTCGAAACTAGCCAAAAATATTCCCTAAAACAGTTAGTTACAGTGCAGTCAACATAAACTTAAAGTTTCTACCATGGAAAGCCACAGAAAGCTCGACTGCAGTAAACAATTTTAATCACTTCACTCTCACCTTAGCAGAAACAGTGCCCACCATTTCTGAACTTCACAGAGACCGTAAAGATGGTTCCAGTAGGGAACAGGATAGAGGGTGCCCACGTCCCTCGTGACTCATTGGAGCAGAGGAAGATAGGACTAACGTTAACATTACTTAAACGCAATCCCGCATCATCACTCATCACCACTATTATATCTAAAATCATCACCGCTCTCAGATCAATGACTTACATCTATAATCCTGGAATTCTATCTGCTATTACAGTTACTTATTATACTAAGTATGCACGTTGCGAGCGCCGTAAAACCCCATACTAAACTAAACTAAAAACACTATTGGACACTGTCATACGCACTTTTTTTCTACTAATCAGATAGCGGGCGTCACTCCCATATAAATGAGCAAGGGATTTTTTTTTTAATTTTTAAACTCACTTCACCCTGTAGATTTTCTATGACAGCCTCCATATCGTGGAGCCTCGTGAGCAACGTGGCGTGAGATTCCTCTAAACTGGCACGCAGACTGGACTCTCTCGAAGCCTCCTCCTTCAGCTCGTTCAGACGTCGAGACAACTTCTGTTTGGAGGATGACAGCTCTTCCACCTTCATCTCAATCTCAGCCTGGTGAGATAATTAAATGTAGAGCACAAGCTTTGCCAGAACATTCCATATATCTATTATATCACCACACAACATTGTAGGCTGAGTAGAACTTTATTCGCGACCTCAGTGCTTTCTTGTCGTGTCTCCATTTTTTTTTACAGTGAAAACAGATTAATAATAATAATGGATTGCATTTATATAGCGCATATCCACTTAAGCAAAGCTCTATGCGCTTAACATGATACATATTATGGATTATAACAATGAATAAGCTTAAGAAGAAGTCATATTTTCAATGTTTAAAAAAATGGAGATACGACAAGAAAGCACTGAGGTCGCGTCTTGTTGACACCTTGATCAAGCAAGCACTTTGACTACTAAAAAAATACCGTATATACAGATACATCACAGATGTTACTCACATATACGTTCGAAGCAAAACAAATTTATGACACTCATTTTTAACCAAAGATTTCTCTCTACCTCCTCTTGTGTGCCTCTTAACATGAAAGCATTTTTATGCTTACTCTAGATTTATTTCTGTTCACCTTTGAAGGCACAAAAGATTCTCTCACCAGTTGGTCTCAAATAAGCTGTTTGGCCGGCCAGTGCTGCCAGTGTGAACATGTGTGGTGAGGCGTCGTGGTGAAATGAAGCGCTCATCAAAACAGTGAAATCAAAGAAACCGGCACTTTTCTGCCAGTTTGACCATTTTTATCGAATTTTGGGGGGGGGGCCCAACAACTTTTACGTTCATTTAAAAACATATTTGAGTGTGGATTTTACTGTAAAATATATTGATCAAAGGCACCAAAAAAAGTACATTTGTAGTTTCCAATGACTCTAAAACTTTAGAAGTCAGCAAAGTTTAGCGGTCTCTTTCTCTCTAATTTTACTTCTCAAACCAGGCGATCCCCACCTTCATCAATCGCACATTTGTGACTACTATTCACGATTAATACACTTTTTTTTAAAATTGAAAACAAGACAAATGAACCTGCTTTCAGGTGATACCAATAACTCCATATGCCTAAAAATTGAAGAGAGCCTGATTCCACCACGTTGTGACATAGTTTCCACAGGGCTGTAGTATTTGAAGTATGCTCTCCCATAAAAAATGTACTCTTTTGACAGTCTGTACACTTTGAAGTTGAAGACTGAACCCACTTACACTGTGCATGACGTTGTCACAACCTCATGAATCTCATACCAGTGTTTTTTACTTATGCTCCTTCTTCCTATTAAATCTTTGTTGAGACAGTCAGTATCTTTCTTTTTATCTAAATATGGACCAGTTATATTTAAAAACCAATTTCAGGAAGTATCTCTTAATATACATACTTCTATTTTATCTAAAATAATTGATTTGTATAGAGACATATTTTCAATTGCTCATCCACAGACAGAAATTCATTCATCCCAAATAATGAGGACGAGATAGGTGGACAACTGCAGGGAGCAAAGAGAATGAAATCAAATACCACCAAAAAAAAACAACCAAAAAAAAACTACTCACTTTTGCGGTTGAAATTTCCTCTACAGCTGATTTCATTTTTTCCACCTCATCCTTTGCTTTTTGCTTCCCCTCTGTTTCATATTGCAAGTCTTCTTGTAGTTGAGATACTACACGCTTCATGCGAATAAGTTCTTGTTCCAGCTCCTGTCTCCCAGCAGATACCTAGGAAGTACATTCATTTTTTTAAAGTAATAAACTATACTATAAAAGTCAATTTCCAACAGCCAATCAAAATAAGTGTTGAGTGTGATTGACATTTTCTGAGCGCCCATCATTAAAGTTAAAGTGAACTACCATGTCTTTCTTCAACAATATTTAAACTGTACAAGGTTTGATATCAACATAAAAATTTTCTGTTAAACAGTTCTTCTTTAACTTGTAATTTCCAGCAAATAAGACCTCCTTTTCACCAAGTTGCACCATAAGTGTAAAAAGAATTATCTAGAGGACCCCCAAAAAAATGCAATGTAGTGTGGACATAACATAATCAGTGGGATGTGGAAATCTTTTCGTTATATATGTATAAATTTTGTTATGTAAGTATTTTTTTAATACAAAGAAATACATGCATTTATAAGCAAAAATTCAGGACCTGAAAACCTGTTAACAATGTGTATATTTCGCTGTGAGCATGTTAAAATTAGACGGTATCTTCTTCAGGTAAAAGTAACCTTTAGAGGGGAAAGTGAAATGTGCAATCTCTCAATAAGAATTCAAAAACTTTGAACAAGACATTGGTAAACAACTTTATCATACGTATATTATTTATATTCATATATATATAGATATACAGTCGAACCTGCTTCAACAGTCACCTGTATGAAACAGTCGTCAGTATACAGTTCCACCTCCCATTTTTCCCTTACATTTTTTACACTATAATGATAACGTGTAAGACGGCCACCAGCCTTACAAAGTCATTTTCTCCTCCAACACGGGTGACCAGCTTAGACAATTTGAACTACATAATACAAACAAGTATTTCAAAATCAGGTAATTTTCATTTAACTAAACAACTGCTAGACATTCAATAGAAAAGTCCTGTTCATACCTTCCCATCAGCTCCTTCTGTTCTGTGCCTAATTTTACTGCCATTGTCAGTTGACTTTGCTAGAGGCGGTTTCATGACGTAATTTTCATACATCTTTGACTCTGAGTCCTCAAAGGCCCCTGGAACTAGTCCTTTCAGAGACAGAGGTGTAATAGGTCTATGTTTCGCACTTTTGCTGCCTGAGCTTTTGTCAGACCCACTGAGATTTCGACTGTTTCTTTGCTGCCCAGATGAAGATTCTGTTGTCAGAGACGTTTTGTACTTTGTAGATAATGATGCACTTTCACTAACATCTTTGCTAGACAAACCACTTTTAGATTTTTTACCATCATTTGGGTCTGAATATCTATCTTTATCACTTTTTGTATTGAATCCCATTTCTTCCAGCTGTTGCATCAATTGCTGAGTGTCTTCTTCTGCCGTTGCCAAACGCCTCTTCAAGACATCGGCAGTCTGCTCTGATGATGAAGCAGACTGCCCAGGCGGCAAAAAGCCCGCTGATTTGGATGCCATATTACTTCCTGTGAATCATGTCAAATATGAAGATCCTTTTCTTTTTCATCATTGAACCTCAACCATGTTTTGCCTTGAGACCTGTTGAGATATAGACATAGAAATTCCAGCCATTATCACCACAACAGTATAAGACATGATGAGCTTTGAAAAAGAGGTTTGACCTACTACTTATTCTTCTTCTTTCCATCCCATCTTTTCATTCTACTAGTCTACATTTCTTATTTTCCATTGACATCTTCTTATATTCCCCTCCTTTTCCTTTCTTTGTAGGCCTATTATCACCACCCCTCCCCCACCCATCTCCTCCCTTTGCATTTTCTTCCATTCCTATTACTATTAGTGCCTAATAAAGCAGAATGTACACTAAATCTACTAAGTTTATCTTTAAGAGGTTGTAACTTTTACTCTTGAGGAACTAAGTCCATACAACTCAAAGTAAAGAGTATGCAGGAGTAGTTTTCAGCAGCATTTCCTCACTAAAATCAGCAGTGCTGGAAATACATGTGGGGTTTGAAAACTGGAACAGTACTAAATGCAAAGGGACAAGTGTATACACTTCACTATGGATGCAACAATTTCAGATACAAAAATGAAAATGGGAAGGACTAGCGTAACGAGCGACCACCTCAACAAACACAATAAGGAAGACACCTAAATGTTTATCTAACCCTGACCCAACCCCTACCACTACCCTTAACCCTACCCCAAACCCTAGATTATAACCCTCTATTCTACTCTGTTTCATAGTAGTCGCTCATTACGGAATTCCTCCCCATAATTTGAAAAAAGTGTGTGTATGTATGCGTGTCAAAACAAATGAAAGTAGACCTAGAAATCTAGACGAGTTCACAGAAAATCATATTCACTGAGGATAGCAACATAATAATATATTCTTATAACAGTAGTCCCGGTAGACCCACAGAATGCAGACGCGGAATCTGAACCAACAACGTCAACAGTACAGTGACTGACTGATGGAGAGAGAACCCCGGGAGCGTGAGTGTCGACTGTTCACTGTTGACAGTCAGCAGAGTCGGATTTCGCCCTCATTCCTGATCTTGAAACTGTTAAGGAGAATAGAGTTCGTAGTATGTTTTTTCCCACTACATGTATTGAAAGTAATCTGAAGTACACACAAAAAATACAAGCAGATCACCAGTTTACTGTTATAATTGTTGAACTTGCCTCTGCTTGTCGCCATAGACGCCATTGGAATCAACGTTATCCGCTCTTTTGTGCAGAAAACAGATCTTGTTCTAATTTGTAACAGAGTTTCCTTTCCAGGTATTTCCGGTCACATTGGATATTCATTGTTGCTTCCCTTTGCACTTTGCAAGAAAGCACAGAATTCTGTGCAAGAAAGACAATTTCCCTCAAGAAAATAATTGTCGAGTCAAGTTCGAAAAGGGAATACAGTTGAACCTGTCAAAGACAAAATCTCAATTGAGCTATTGGGGGGGGGGGGGGGGGGGGCAATATTAGCCTCTTAAACAATATCCACCTTTGACAGGCGAATTTATTCAGTGGGAGGGGATGCACCAGAGGGCCAGCCAACCCGTTCGTGGGATCAAAGGTCACCGGCCCTGTCAGTAAACGTGGTGAAAACTCCACACCTCCCCAAGTTCTGTAACGTCCTATAGCCTCTCTGATAATATAATGTCATAGGACTGTCTTAGGCCTACTTATAAATCCAACGCCTCCAGTTCTCAGATCTCTTGACCACTGTTTGACGAATCAAAAACAGAAACGATTGAACATCTTTTCTACTCTGAACCAACAAATAGTATGTCGATCATTACAAAAATAATGAAGTAAGCACGCAATATTGAACCAATGCCACAAATTATTCCCAGATAGGCGGGGCCTCCGAGTTTAATACGTCCATCTCCGAAACAACGACCCCCCCACCCCCCCACCCCCCGGCGGTGCTACTGACTGAAGTGTCTTAAGGCCTTTCCCAAAGGGGGGACATAAACCATGTTCTTCTGCACAGTAGAATTGTAATTGTAAATGGGCTGATTCATCGATGTCATGCTCATAACTGTGCCTGAACTGCAACAGGGAACTGCTGCTTTTTCTTTCCTCATCCTTACTATCGTCAGTTTTCATCTACTTCTTTTGTATGTTTGCCACTCTCTTGAGACCCGGTATTTCCGGGGTGCCTTGATAGTCAAGGCAGACTTTGTGCTGTTGAGGCAAGAGAGGTGAGCAGAGTAAGTGTGATTCCCTGTAAGGACTTCTCTGTTGACATCCACCCCTTGACGCTCATATTACCTTATGCAGTTGCGAGCGTCGTAAAACCTTTACTAAAACTTTTTTTAAGAAATCATTTCCATATGGGCATTAGGCTACCTCAAATAAATATAAATAAATAAATTTTAAATTTTAAATTAGGGCCCTCCAAGGTCACTATCGTCAAGTGCCAGATCTGAAGCAGACATCGGCGATCATGGTTTGCCACTCAATTCTCTACCCAAATGCTCTCTAAAAAACCTGTAGCAGTAGGTGTTGGTCTTCCCCGCCATCACTTAAAGATTCTCTCTCTCTCTCTCTCTCTCTCTCTCTCTCTCTCTCTCTCTCTCTCTCTCTCTCTCTCTCTCTCTCTCTCTCTCTCTCTCTCTGCTCCCCCCTCTCTCTCTCTCTCTCTCTCTCTCTCTCTCTCTCTCTCTCTCTCTCTCTCTCTCTCTCTCTCTCTATCTATCTATCTATCTATCTATCTATCTATCTATCTATCTATCTATCTATCTATCTATTTATCTATCTATCTATCTATCTATCTATCTCTTCCTTTCCAGCGAGGGCAAGGTGTTCATGGCCAATTTATAGAATCTACGCAAGTTTCCAAGAAACTGCATTTTACAATTTCCCAATTGTTTCTATAAGTTAACAGCCCACTCTGATTGCTTTCACGAGTGCCTGGGTTGATTCCCTTTTCTCCGATGAAATTTTCAAGTCTCCCGAGAAACCACATTTTTTGTTTTGTTTCATGTTTATTATTATTACCCTTGTTATTTATAAATAATTCACAGTCACACAGATGAGTTGGCCTCGCATTGCTTTTGTAAACGTGTATTTCGGTTGTCATTGTAAGTTTTCTGTTTTTCAGAATTTGAACTGTCACAAGCTATTGTAACAATTCCTTTTTTTTTGTCTGTGGTAGATCTACATGCGGCATCGGATGTAATCTATCGTTTTCTAATTTCTAGATAATTAACATGCTGGCCTTGGTTGATATTTTCACCTTTGTTTAAATGAGATAAGAAATTGGATTTACTTCTATTTTCTTGCCTTGAATGTATGGATTTAGCTTAACAAAACTAAATACGCCAGTTGGGCACAGATGACAAAAATAAGCCACCATAAATTGATTAAAAGATTAATATAACTCAGTTTATAATACACGTATTGTACTGTGGATATCCTCCAAAATAATCAGCATAATATTATTATTATATCAATCCCGAAGACCGTCTTGTCTACATCTTGTCGACCGTTGTGCGCCACGCATGCCTTTTCACGAATCTTTTTTAAAAATGTTTATGTAATCCTTTCGATTGTTGGCTTGCTCATACGTACTTATTGAACCCTATCCGCACGTCGTGTTTTACTAACGTAGCCATACGACGTGGGGAACTCTGTGCCAGCACTTTCCAAAGGGGAAAGTTACTCGTTAATCCGATTCGTACGCTTTGTATAGCAGTCTGCCAAAATGATTTTTTGAGAAATACTGAAAGTTTAAAAGAGATTTTCGTACTAGAAGTATTCTAAAATGTGAAGAATACAACCCCGGGGTACAAAATGGCCCCAGGGCGTACGGATAGGGTCAATTGTTGTCACATATGGGGCATATAGCCGCTGACAAGAGCACTCTCCTCGAATCTCGATTCCGGACCAGTTTGTCTATCTCTGTCAGTCTGTCCCTCCATAAGCCCCAACACCTTGTGTACTCTGCCACCTCTCGGGTGGAGGCTGAAGCCTACTGTAATCGATTTTAGACCACCAAGGGATCTTTAACGTGCGCAACTTGCACACGGTACCTCAGAGATATTTCTCCCTTGTCCGAGAAGGCAAGGTGTAGATCTTTCCTACCAGAAGATCAGGGGTGTTGCTGAAAGACAGCAATTAGAAGGAGCCAAGGAGTAGCAGTAGAAAAGCTGCAGAAAGAGTCAGGAGCCCGCAGTGGAGGAGGGCAAAGGAGGTGAGGGGGTGAGGGTAGAAAGTGGAGACGATAGCAGACGGCAGAACATTGGTAGACAGCAGAAAAGGAGGTGAAAGGAGACACTTTTAGAGAAGAAAAGTCTTTCCGTCTCTTCGCGGATTTGAACCAGGGGACCTTTGAATGAGAGGCGAACATCTTAACCTCTAGGCCACGAGAGCCCCCTTAGTGGCTCTCCACGTCTCGGTTCCATACAGCAGCCATTGGTTTCACACAGGTGTCCAAAATAATGCAACTTAGTTTTGACGTAAGAAGAGTTGGGAGGACAACATCAAGGAATGGACAGGCCTGGAACTCAAAGACACGCTCAGGAAAGCTGGAGACAAGGAGTGGAGGAAGCTGGTGGCCAAATCTTCAAAAGCGCCCTGAACGACATCTATTCTACGGGATAGGTGAAGGTGAAGGTGAAGGAGTTTTAACGTGCAAAACTGTTGAACCCCAAACATTTTAACTTCTACTTACAAAGGCGATGGATTGCTGACCCTGGCCTGCCAGTTCGCATCCTCACACCTGCTTCTGTACCACCCTGTTTGTTGATGATATTCCCAAAGTAAGCAAAAATCTCTACTTCTTTCAGAACATTCCCCATTCGAGGTAATGCATCCTGGGTTCGTCATCATTATTGACCTTGAGGATCTTGCTCTCGCTTCTGGGGATGGTCTGTCCAATACGAACTTTTTTTTTACAACAATCTTGCCCTTTTCTTGTATCTTTCGCAGGGTATGAGAAAGTAGAGTAATGCCATCATCAAAGTACAGGTTATCTAATCAATTAGCTGGTTCCATAAAGTTGTGCGATCTTTGACTTTGACATATACACTTATTATTTGCTATGCGTCTTCAATAGCATCTCATTTCGAGACTCTGGATCTTCTTCTCAAGTTGAAAAGTCAGTATCCATGACTCGCAAGCATGTGGGAAGATGATTTATGATTAGAGATTGTTTCAGTGTGGTCTTTGAGCTGAAGGACACTTCAGGAGAGAGAGAGAGAGAGAGAGAGAGAGAGAGAGAGAGAGG